AAATGGAGGAAAATATGAATGGAATAGTGTCGAAACTATCAAATTTAGAAGGTTCAGTAGAATATTTGAAAATAACGATAACAGATCTAGAAAGGAGCCAAGAAAAAAGTGAGTCAAAATTCACTGATATTTATACAAAATTATCACTCTCGGAGAATTTGATGACGCAGAATAAGAATAAGTTAGATGAATTAGAGAGAAAGCAAGTAGGAACAGGAAGAAATTATACGGAAAATCAATTGAGGCTTGTAGGAATGATGGAAGAAGAAAATGAAAACACACTGACTAAAGTACTAACTTTGTTCAATGATGGAATGAAAATTAAGTGCTCACTATTTAAAATATACAATGTATTCAGGATTGGGAGGAAGGATGAAAAGCTAGCGAAGCCAAGACCCATCATTGTTACTTTCGTATCACTTTTGAAGAGAAATGAAGTTTTTCAAATGAGAACTATGTTGAAAGGTTCTAAAATATTCATCAACGAGGAGTTAGCACATGCATCATATAAACTTCTACTAGCAACAAAATCGAAATTCGGCAGTAATGCCGTATGGACCAAGAATTGTAGAATTTTCAGGTACTCGAGTTGTTTACTATTTGCAGATGATCTGAAAATTTTTAAAAAAATTGACACTATTAGAGATTGTGTTATGTTGCAAAAAGACTTAGAATGTGTTTGTGAGTGGAGCCGTAAAAATAAACTATCTTTCAATCTCAGAAAATGCAGTGTCATGAGAGTATAACAAAGCTGAGAGATCCAATAATATTCGATTATATGATGCAAGATGAGGAATTACAAAGTGTTAGAGAGATGAAAGACCTGGGAATTACATATGACCATACGCTATCTTTTTCAAATCATGTGAGAAATATAACTAAAGCAGCAAACCGTTTGTTAGGCTTCATAGTAAGGCAGGCATCAAAATTTACTAACTTAGAAACTATAAAGATTTTGTATTTCACTCTAGTCAGATCTAAGCTCGAATTCGGTTCAGAAATTTGGTTAGGAGAATATCAAACTACACTAATAGAAAAAATTCAGAACAAATTTTTAAGGTATATGTGTTATAAAAACTATCGAATTTATCCCGACTACAATATAGTAAGAACTCTCCAATTGAGAAATGAGTTCAAAGTGATGTCTCTGGATGAACGAAGAAATCTGAATATAATAATCTTTCTATACAAATTATTAAATCATAAAATCAATTCCCCTGAACTACTATCTAGAATCAGGTTCAATGTGCCTGCAAGACGAACACGAAATATTCTTATGTTCAATGTACCTCTAGTTTGTACTACCGCAAGGGCTCCACTTATAATCATGTTGCGACTTGCCAATACAATGAACTCAATGATAGATATAGATTGGACATTGTCAATGAGAGAATTCAGAAAAATCGCTACACATCATATCAACAATTTCAATTGAAATTCAACAGACTGTGAGTTATATTTGGAATTACTTATTGAACAATAGTATATTATTCAACAAGCATATAATGAGTGCTATTATTCACGAAGGTTAAGTTCATACCACGAGCGTAGCGAGTGGCATAATTAACCTTAGTGAATAATAGCTCATTATATGCGAGTAGAATACTATACTTTGTCCACGACTACTATATTGTCCTTGATATATGAATTTATTTTCAACAACTGTTTTATCATAACTTATTTGACATTAGGAAAACTGAAAATTGAAGATACCTGTTATATTAATTCTTTCTAAGACTATTATAGGCCTATATTTATTCAAATTGCACCCATTATTCCCATTATCATTGTGACCTGATAAGGATGAATTTTATTTCATGAATCCTAGTTAAGCAATTTTTTTTTCATGTCTTACTTTCATTGCAAGATATTTTTCATCACATGCCTGATTCAAAAATTCCTAGAATGTATCTGCTTTTTTCGGATGAAAGCCTTCAGACTTCCTTTTCAGAAGTGAATGCAGTTTTACATAGTTTTTTATATTGACTCCTTGATTATATTAAGCATACTCCTGAGCATCGAGTGATGTGTCCGTGATGTGGATGGCTTATATTTTGCAGCTGATTCCGTGAAATATACCAGTAAGATTGACCAGTTCATGCAGGTGTTGTTCACAGATGCATATAGATTTCGGAAGTTATCCGGCAACGAATTCATTGACGTGACTTTTGCAGCTTCGTTTATCTCCTCAATATCCATTTTTTAGGAATTATAACTGAAACACCGCGTGTCGTCGAAATTTGACGTTTCAACAATGACAACTATTTATGATTAGCTTGTCATATCATACAATGGCTTCCGTATTCGATATCATCTTGATATAGTCTATTTGATACTAACATCTTATTCCAAGTATATACATACATTATAAAGAGAGGAATAATGTAATACTGAGGAGGTATATCAAGATTTTTATATATTTGAATATGATTCGTATGAAGTTAGCTAAATGTACCTAGCTATAGCCTGAACGTGTACTGATGAATGCTCGCTTGATACAAAACATTTATCGTGTACCCTACGAACTCTAGACCAGTGAATAATGATTATTCACCGCTATTATTCACTGGTGTGGAAAATGGCTATCGTTTTGCTTGAGGAAGTACATGTATTATGAATATTTTATACAACAGTCGTGGACAAATATTATGTTATTTTGAAATATTTATTCATGTAATAAGGCCTTGTTTGGCCTGTTTGAATAATAAATTAATAAATAAATAAATAAATATTGCACCGTTGCTGGATATGGAAAATGTGGACGAAGATGATGATTATATAATTGTCAATTATTAAAACGTATACATTCAATATGTTTGTTTCCAAGGAATAATGTATTTGTTTCAGTTATCAGCCACGTTGAACACGAATTCCATGATGTGAGACATTGAACATGAATTTCAAACCATTAAACTCTATTTTTGATACTTATCGATTTTTTCTCTTCCTCAGGAACTATTTATTGTAGACGAAATATTAATAGAGTCGTTTTCATAGGCGATTCCATGTTGTTCAATTTTTTATGCCTCCATTTTTTCGCTAGAGTTTGCGATTGTCGAATTATTCAAGAACAACTTGAGAAAATTACCTTCAAACGTTCCACTACTGCCCCGCTCATCCCCTAGGGGTCAGGACTTTTAGTATGTTGTTCATAGCACTTTTCTTTATCACTCTACAGAAATTCACGACTACACGATTTTTCCCCTATTTTTAGTTCGTTTAATGAACTAGATGATGACGTTACTTCTCAACGTAATATCTCAATGAAAATCTTGAGAAGTATCAAGTAGTCTGTGGAATACCAAGAAGTACATGTTCCAAGAAGTACGAATAAAGTCACTGAAGTCTCGATGAAGTCAGTGAAGTCTTAATGAAGTCAGTGAAGTCACGATGAATTCACTGAAGTCTCGATGAAGTCAGTGAAGTCATGATGAAGTCAGTGAAGTCATGATGAAGTCAGTGAAGTTTCGATGAAGTCAGTGAAGTCTTAGGAGAATGTGAAGTCAGGTGTACAAATTTTCGTCTGCGGTTCGCCCCTCGTTAGTGACAGAGATAATATCTGATGGACCAGTGTGAAACTTATGAGGTGATCACACTTCAAGTATTTTATTCCTCATGTTGAGTTTGTCACTGGTCCATCGGATATTATCTTTAGAATACTTCTTATCATCTGAAGCAAGTATGTCCGTAATGATGGCAGCTGATGATGAATTGCTGTACCGTGGATTTGGCTCAGACTAAAGGGTGGAACATGTAGGTTTTTGAGATCTACCATTCAATTGGTATCGGATGACATATTTCTTATCTCGATATTAAATAGCGGATTTCCTCACAGAGAAGTGTAGTTTTTTCAATAATTTTGTCCACAGGATAGTGATTGGCACAGGTGCCGTTCGGTAAACTAGAATGTCCGTATGTCTGATGTCAATTTCAAAATTGTCAGTCTGTCAATTATCTGTCATGTGTATCTCCCTCTGGTGCTTGATTTTACTTTGTCTTATGGCCCACATACGATGATATCTCTCAATGAATTTTTGAGTGAAATTTGTTTTCAATTTGATCCTTTAATTTCTTTCTAATGTCCAACCAGATTGTTAAAAACTATTTCTGGTTGTGCAGCCGCTATAAATTAGTTTTGTACAACTAGGACTGCTTTTTTCCGGCTGACAACCCCCATTTAAATGTGTTTAACCTAATTATTATTGCTGCACATAGTAAGATTCCTTTCATCAGTAGCTTTCTCGGTAGCTTTTGTATATTTTTTCATAGTTGTTCATCACAGGTGCTTTATATTATGTGTCTGATGATGGCCGAGTGCCGAAACTAGTTACACGTCTCATGTAGTAAATTTGTTGTGGTCGACCGACTTTGGGTTTTTTGTATTTTTTCTTTAAAAAATTCTGGACCACTTTGGGAAAATGAATGGTTTCCACGACTTAAACTACAATGGTTCCACATGCCTTTGGGAGATATATCATTTCGTTATCAGATGCTGGTCAAAATTTGCAGCCGGCCGGTTCGTGGACTATTAGGAATAATTTTGTAAATACTCATGAGATCCTCTTTTTGACCTTGCAGAGGTAATTCTTAATTCATCACAGTAAGAAAAGTACATATTCTGTAGAATATTGAAGCAACGGAGCTGAAATTATTCTCCCAATTGGTGATTTCACCATCAACAAACTTAACGTGGTTAATAAATAAATATACACAGATGTACGAGTATGTATAGGTATTATAATATAATCCTAAACACTTATCCAGGCGAAGCGTAAAACAAAACATACAGCAATAAACACCAACTGCGCTGTACAGAGGGTGCAAAGTAGGGATGTGAGCACACGATCGAAACGTCATAACAATGATGTCTTTCATGAATGAGCGCTTCACGTTTCACCTCGCGTTTCACCTACAATCTGACAGCGCCAGAAAAATCAATTATAGCAAGGGCCTCACACACCTAACGCTAACACACAAGAATAAAGCGGGACATTACCCACCAGATGAAATCCTTGCAGTGCGAGCAGAAAGTCGGCTGCTTGAAGAACCTAGGGATGAAATGGTGGTCCTTGATGTTGTACACGTTTTTCTTCTTCAAAGCACCCTTTCGACCCCTCAACTTCAACCCGAACTTGGTGTTCATGTCGTTGGCATCCTCCATCATGTTATCCTCTTCCGCCATGGCTGAGGTAATCCGAGGTCCCCTCAACGATACAAACGACGATCAATTGATCACCTACGCGATATACATGAGCACGCTGCACTAGTACCAAACGCGTCAAATGTCAATAGTCAGGATCTGGATCTCTGACCCAGAGTATATTTAGGTTTTGGTGCAACAGTTGAATTGAAAGTGCCGTACGAGGCAGAGCTATCCGCTGTTCTCTACGGTGCGTTGATGCGGTGTTGCCACCTGAAAACTGGAAAAATACTGACATGTTCATCCATGACCTCACGTGGGTTTCACTTCCTGGAACTTTATTCAGGAAGCAAGGATCTTTGAGGAGCGTTTGCCTTTCAATGAAGTCTATATGTCATACAAGTAGGAAATTGGGATTCTCTCATGATATCCTAAATCAAAATATCCTCCGACTTTACAGAGTGTTCCAGATTCAAATGTACATACGATACCTTTAGACAGAGGACACTTTGATGGTTCCAAATCAGTCCTCGTTGATGTGGCTACCGTCTTTTTTAACTGAGATACAGGACGTTATCTTGATTTTGGCAAAATCTTTATCTGGTCATAATTTCTGAACCACTCTGTTTAATCTTTCCATTCTTGGTAGAAATATCACACTCGTATTACCATTCAAAACTGAATGAAAATCGAGATCAAAGTCCAGGTCCGTCCTAAGAAAGACAGAAAATTCCTTTTATTTCAAAAACAACACTCTGTATGGCAAAATTCTGTTGATCTGTTTTGATATTTGAAAAGAGTAGGAAAAAATGAATGAAGTGACCTACTTTCTACGAGCGCGCAGCCAATTTGAGAGCTTTTTTATTATTTTTTTTTAATATTCAGCTTCAATTTTAGGCATTTTCATTGAACTAGTAATTATAATCCCAATTTCAATATAAAAAAAAAATTATTCAAAGTTCGAAATCATCAGAGTCAAATTAGTGTGATATTATTGGTATTTATTAAGGATATCATAGAAAGGTACTTTGACATGTAACAACACAATACACGCAACAAAAATTATCCCAACGTTACCAATGATATCACACTAGTGATTATGAATTGGCAGAATTTCGAATTTTTTTGCATAGCATACTTCACCAAAGCTCATGAATCAATAGTGGAGAATAAAATGAGTTCTCTAAAATTTCCAAATTCATTGACAATATATTCTGTCAATCGAACAAATCTCTCGATAGTTCATCTAGTTTGGTTCTAATGATGTTGAAGTTTGTAAATTGTTATTTTTCCGTATCAAATTTGGATTTTGATTTACGAGTTCATCAATTAATGCCTCAAAATTCGAAAAAAAAACATCTGCCAAATTGAATGCGCGCTTGTGAATATTAGGTAACTTTTCTCCCCAAATATCAGAAAAGATCAACACAATTTTGCCATACTTTTCAAATAAAATAAATCTTCAGTTTTTCCTTGAGACGGACCTGGATTCTGATTTCGATTTTTATTCAGTTTTGATGTGTATGTATTAGAATATCTCTCTACTGAAAATAAATAGATTATACAAAGGGGTTCATGACCAGGTGAAGATTTTGCCAAAATCAAGATAACGTTCTGTATCTCAGCTATATAAGGTGGTTGACACATCAATGAGGGGTGATTTGGAACCATCAAAGTGTCCTTTATTTGCAGGTTTCGTAGGTACATTTGAATCTGAAACACCTTGTATATCATCACTGACGAAATATCTCATTCGGATTCTCTGAAAATCAGTTTATTGTTCACCACCCTGTAAAAAGGCTACTATATGCTTTCTGTAACCTTGAAACATACCTATCTTTAATGAATTTCGGTAGGGTGAATGCATATCACGAGATTTTCATATTCTTCATCAAGCTTCGAAGACTCAAAAATACACAAAATTTATGATGTTTCACCCTCTAGCGTCGAATCTGGTCATACGATCGAGTTGTGTCAATGGAGATTCACTCAGAATGACTTCGGCATATAACCTCCAGAAATCTAAAAAGAACATCAATTCCTACCTTATTTACCTTGGTTCTCACGATGTTCTCTGAACATTACAAGATATCCCTTTGAGAACCAGAACATAAAAAGAATATATCTTAAAGAAATTTTTCCCTATAATGTGTGCGTACTGCGTGGTCCTTAATGTTCAAAACTTCCTAACCAGTTTCTTGTATAATGAAGACATTTTGAATGTCAGATTAATATCTGAAAATTTCAACCTTCTACGGTGAAATATAGTTTGCTGACCAAAATTATTAAAGTATGCTGACCAAGCATTTCTGGTTCGATTTTTTTGTCAAATTGCATATTTGAATATTTCATATGAATATATAGATGCCACCAGTAAGATGATTCCGATCCACCCCTTCAGAGGGGTAGTTTATTCTTGCAGTTTTTCAGAAATATACTTGATGACCGAGCATTTCTGGTTTGTATTTTTCCATCAAATTACATATTTGAATATCTCATATAGATTTATAGATGCCACCAGTGGAATTATTCAGATCCATCCCTTCAGAGGGGTAGTTTATTCTTGCTGTTTTTCGGAAATCCTTGCTGATCGAGCATTTCTGGTCCGTGTATTTCCATCAAATCACATATTTCGATATCTTATAAAGGTATATAGATGCCATCAGTGGATTAATTTCGATCCACTCCTTCAGAGAGGTAGTTTATTCTCGCAGTTTTTCAAAAATCCTTGCTGACCGGGTATTTCTAATTCGAATTTTCTCTTCAAATTGCATATTAGAATATTTCATACAAATATATAGATGCCCCAGTGGAATTTTCTTGATCCATCCTTAAAAAAGGAGTAGTTTTTTCTATCAGTTTTTCAAAAATCCTTGCAGACCGAGCATTTCTGGTGCGTATTTTTCCATCAAATATCATATTTGGATATATTATATAGATTTATAGATGCCACCAGTTGAATCATCTCGTTCTACTCCTTGAGAGGGGTAGTTTATTCTCGCTGTTTTTCAAGAATCCTTGCTGACCGAGCATTTATTCGAATTTCCTCTTCAAATTGCATATTTGAATATCTCATACAAACATATAGATGCCACCAGTGGAATTATCTTGATCCACCCCTTAAGAGGGGTGGTTTATTTAAGCAGTTTTTCAAAAATCCTTGCTGATCGAGCATTTCTGGTTCGTATTTTTCTATCAAATCACTCATTTGGATATCTCATATAGATTTATAGATGCCACCAGTGGAGTTATTTCGATCCACCCCTCCAGAGGGTTAGTTTATTCGTGTTGTTTTTCGAAAATCCTTGCTGACCGAGCATTTCTGGTTCGTATTTTTCCATAAAATCACCCCACTGGTTGCATCTATAAATCTATATGTGACAAATATTTCATTTGATGAAAACTGCAGGAATATACTATCCGTCTGAAAGGGTGGATCAAGATAATTGTACTGGTGGCATCTATAAATTTATATAAGTTATTCGAATGTGCAATTTGAAGGGAAAGTTCGAATGCTCGGTCAGCAAGGATTTTCGAAAAAATGGGAGAATAAACTACCCCTCTGAAAGGGTGGATCAAAATAATTCCACTAGTGGCATCTATATATATCTATATGAGATATTCAAATATGCAATTTAAAGAGAAAATTCTATTCAGAAATGCCCGGATAGCATACTTCAATTCTGGTCAGCAAATTATACACCCTCACATTCCACTACAAAAATAGTCATTGTCTCCAAAAAATATCTCATCCTTGTAACACTCGAGCAAAGAATAATATACAGGGTGAAGACTTAAACTGGACCAAATTCGCTACTGGCGGAGTAAATGATTTTTCTGAAAAGTCGAGAGACAAGTCAACGTTTCAAAGTATCATTGAGTATTGTATATAATCAAGGATAGTATATTACACACCGAGATGGGAAGTGATCCATTTCTGTCGTGAGGTTAGCTATAATTTCGAGACAGGATGAAACTTCCTACCGAGGTTTGTATACTATTTTATTTACAACCATCATATTTCGATCAAAATTAATGAATCTATGTGTCGTTCTGAACATACCTGAATTATTATTACATGAGTGAGGGCGGGAAGTAGTGAATGGCGGAAAGTGAGGGCGGGAAGTAGAGGTGTGTAATGTGATACTTCCCAACCTTCAATGACGTAAGTACTGACAACATTACATATATGGTTGTAAATAAATAAATTTTCCTATACGTTTGACGAGTAATATGGAGAATATAACACTTCAGGGGTAGCTGGAGTCAACCCCAACATGTTTATTTCAAATGCAATCCTATTTCTTGCGACCGTTTCAATTCCATTCATTCAATAAAAACATTTTTACAATACAAGGTGTATAAACAAAAATCTTCTAAGGGAGACATTGGACATGATAAAAATGTAAAACATTCAATGTAAAACACTTAGATACGCCACAGAATTACCCTCCAAGGGAGCCCTCAGAGGCAGCCGATGCAGGCCTTGCCGATGATTTTTGTCTAACAACCCTGATGGCAGTCATGAGGGAGCTGACTCCTAGGAGTAAACCTTCAATCCAGCTCATGTCAGTGAGTTGCCCAGGGCAAAAAAGATTGATCGTCGATTGCTACCTTTTTCTCTCTAATTTAGCATTTTTTGTGTTGGAAAATAAAAATAAAAAACCAACTTCTGAAATTTCTCTGTGAAAGACACTATGAGGGATGAGGGGTGGGATAGGTGTGGGAGAGTGATTGGGTCTTGCGACCCCTCATTGAAAGGCTGGTTAAAATAAGAATCCAGCGTACCGATCATATTTCAGTTTGCAGTACGTTTGGGATAGTCGCATAAAATCAAAATATGATTTCGAGGTTCAATACACGTCGTTTCGAACTGTGAATACGGCAAAAAAACTATTTTTTGCGGCTCTATAAAAACACTGGAATTCAATAGCAGATAGCGTTTGTGGCAAAAAATTGCCATCAATTGTTCAAATAAAAACATCAAGCACTGAAGAGCTATTCAACAAAAAGTGTAAAAAATATATATTTAAAAATTACAAGTGTGTGGATGTATGCTCAGTAGGTATATTCATCTTGTGTATATAATTTTATATTTCACTGCAATGAATGAATTCTTCACGAATTGATCTGACCAAAACAGAAGTCTGCCCTGCAACAATAGGTCCATCAAAATTGAGCTCATTGAACATCTGGAGAACTCAAAAATCCTTTATGATCGGCGATATGGCTTCAGTCATTGAAGAACATTTGGATATTAACTGGCAACGTTCAATGGTA